AATTAATACCCTAGGGAATTGTAATTATGCAAATGAGTGGATATAGGGTCAGGGAGTGGCTACTCCAATCACTTCATCCAAAGGGCACAAGCAGTGCGGATGTCTGATAGTTTCTGTTACGCTTGCTGCCAGTCGAAAGTGTTATGGCTAATCAAGTCCCGGATACAAGCGTTAGAAGTTGATGAGCAGAATCAGAAGGCGGCTGATAGACAGCAACAAGACGGCCAGGTCGTGGGTCAAGAAGAGGCAAGAGTTCAAGAGAAATATGGTGACTTGTGACTTTTTGAACTTCTGAGGTACAACAGAAATAGAATGGTATCACCCAGGAATCAAAACGAAAACTTTTCCTCACTGTAGTGAAGGCTCGATATTATTCAACCTTGCAGACATGCTGTTGTTCTGGATCTTTATTTTGACAGCAGATTGAAAACATCAATTTCAACCAATCAGGACGAAAGGTCTCTGGCAGTTGTGAGTACATGTTAGATGGCTATTGTGTCTTAAAAATTGGTGAACTTCTGCATGAGGAGAATTCCTCAAAAGCATATTATTACAGTCAGTTTCAGTTGCCACAGCTGCAGCAACCAATGGTCGATTTTGATTGAGTTGTATGAGGTATAATTTTATCTCACACTATGACAAAGAAACATATCAAACTGTTTTGAATAGTTTTTTAACTCATTGTAATGATAAATTCAACTAGTATTGCTAATGTATTAGGGAAAAACTTACCTTCACATAAAACAAAACAGCCAGATTTTCCTTTTTAGAAGAATCAGCTTGGAGGAAATTTTGCATAAATGCATCATTCACATCTAAAAGAAGTAAAACAAATTCATGCCAAAAKTAGTGCACATTAGAAAACCTGCATATAAAGTAAAATKTGCCTGGACATAAAGTTAGCATAAGCAAATTTATTATTTTTTAGCAMATTTTGTGCCCAGTGTGTGAACTGAAGCCAAATATTTAAAAAAAGTGACTTGCCATTACATGAATTTAGATTTGGTGCTTGCAAGTAATTTTTTGAGTGTTATATCTGTCTCGCCCCCAAACAATATCACTACCATATGATCTCTCCCCCTATTGATATCGCTATCTATCTAATTAATAATGTCATTTATGTCACCCCCTTTTCATATTGATGACAAGGGGGCAAGATGGCAATAGGGCGAGATCATATTGATGACAAGGGGGCAAGATGGCAATGGGGC